TATTCAAATTTAATTCCATCCATTACAGTAACCCACTTGTAACCTACTGTACAGCAGAGCGACATCCACGACTTGCCCCCTTTTTTTAATTTTAATTTTACAATTTATTTGAAATACACAATCTGTAAAACATAGCACAATAAGTATGTATGATATCATAATAGTAGCATGAATATTTTGAATTAAGAAATCACCCATTGGCCATTGGTTAGGTTATTAGGACACTTGGTTGGGAATTAACGGCTGTCTAGAGTCTAGAACTTGGTTGTTGTTTTTTTATCAATTATTTATTTATAATAAGTCACGACACCAGTTCCTTTTTAGACGACGTCCGGGGTTTCCCGATATGGTTTGGGTGTAGAGACTTTATATCAATAGATAAATAATGGTACTAAAAAAAGTGTGAAAAATCTTAATCCATGAACTATTATAGGTATATAGTGATGCAGATGATACAATGAAAAAATAATTCACGCAAAATATTACTATATCCCTAATGTGTTGAAATCACTTAGAATATCTAAGCACCTTAGGGTGGTGCTATTTTTATAACAACAATAATAAAATGTATATCATTTTATTTCACAAATATACATAATTATATATAACAATATGAATTTGAAATGATGATATWTCCAAATAGTGATGCTTGTGAAGAATACACATAGTTAAATAAGCTTGTTAGAGTATAAGGATATGTAGTGTATGAATAAAACATAAAATTGTCCATGTACAGTGTGATCTTTTAATAWGTACGTCATATTTGTATGCTTAAATTATGCTTATGTTCAAAATCTGATTTTAGAACTTTTAAATGCACTTYAAGACCATAGTTTCGAATGCTTGAGATATTTTGTATCATTTAAGGATTATCATGTCCTGCTAAAAATCACAATACAAGCTTCTACTTTTAGGAATCGTCYTTTTTCATTTTTCACCAAATATACTTACATATGAGAATTTTGACATAATTAAATCTAAATTCGAGTGATTAGATTTTATGTTATATAACTTTRTGTATAATACTATGGTAAAGGATTAAATAATAGCTATTTACCTTAGATGATTTGAAAATATTAGTGATTATTATTAATTATTGATGTATTAATTTAAATAATTTGTAAAAATGATCTAAGTGTAACGAATARGTACTACATCTAATACAACATATTATATAGCTTATATTTTTGTAAAACCATACTTGAAGACTATGATTTTTAGTACAAACATAATTGTTGGTAATTACTATTAATATAGCAACACGTATACATATTTTGTTTGTAAAAATGGTCCGAGTATAATTAATAGTACTTYTAATATTAAATGTATRTTATAATTTTGAAAAATCTTATTCAAAAATTATTAATCTTTCACCTTTGTATAAACATTTTAATAATTCAGAAATAACTCATTCAAATATGTATTTAAATAGGTAGGTACATTCAAAATTTCAATAAAATCATTTTTTAAATAATTGACAATAAAAAAGGTCATCACAGGACACTTCTTAATTAGTAAAAAAATATCAACAATTTGAAAATATGGTCTTTAAGTATACTGTATAGGTATACTGTCTTGTAAATTCTAAAATTCAGAATTTAAATAAATGTATTATCAAAGCGAAAAATTAAGATGAGCATGTTTAAAAAATCACGCTTCATACACAAACACACAAAAATAATAATAAACTACCTAGTTACGATAAATAAAAATAATAACTACTAATAACAAACACATAGTATACCTATAAAAAACAATAACATAAAATTACAAAAGAAATTTAATATTTGTACTCATATAATTTTTGTAAGTATTAATGTTATTAAAATTACTAATGTTAAAAACAAATCGATTATACACATTATAATGTTAATATTAAAAGGGTCTTTTTGTCCAAAATCTGTAATTATACTTACTTCATTAAAAAAAAATTGTATTACATACGTTGGCCCTGATAAGATTTTTTACACGGTTATCCCTGGTCATTGGAAAGGTATACCTTTATCTTATATTATTATGTATAGTGTATACAACAGTAGAGGTATACTGATATTCATGTTGTTGATTGTAATGGGTGCCAATAAATAATAATATTTTACACTTATTCCATTTAAGTTTTGTTAAGATAAAAATTATTTATATTTTATTTACTCTTACTCTATTTCTCGAAAATTTTCGAAAAATTGCATTCTTAAACGTCTCCTACCAATCATAGAAAAAAACCTTCCCAATCTTCAGTTCGGATTTAGGCACAATCATTCCACA